GGGAACAGCTACACAGAGCTGCAGGGGAGGTGGCAGGGTATTCAATGAGGACTCAACTTCCACCATGGAGAAAGCTGCACTTGTCAAAACATGGGAATGCTGGGGCCAGAGCAACTCCAGTCTTGGTGGAATGGATGAAGGATATCACAGCTGCCAGGACCAGAAGGTGGTACAAGTGACTCCCCTCTCCTCTTGCATTCAGCCCTCTTCTTCCCCCTGTGCTCGCTGCCACAGCAGTTCTCAGTCCCCTGTGCTGCTTTGTCTTGGGGCTGCTTATTTCCTTCTCCAGTATGAGAATGCTTTTAAGACAATCAGATTATTCTTCACAGCAGAAACTGGACCGTGTCAAAGCGCCTACAATATACCCTGAAGTTTATCACTTCACTTAAAGAAAAGTGTCTCTCTGTTAGTGTCACATTGTCAATTTGCTAATCTCCAATTCATGTAAACATTTGGTTCAGACCAGGTGCGGTGTAAATAGTGCAGAGTCTCAAGGGATAACTCCTTTGCCCCCTTCTTTTTTCCTTGGTGGATCAGAGTTGGGTCCAGCAGCAAGCTGGGCAGCTGCCCCACTCCCCGTCTGGAAGCAGGAATCGTTGGAGAGGTTTCTCTTTTTCAACTTAATTTTTCTTGAAAAAGGAAAAGAGACGGTTCCCTTCTGCCGCAGTGGGCTCGTCCCCCTGCTGCTCTGGCCTGAACATGGGGGAGGGCTTGGCACTCCGCTTTGTGCCGGAGCCACTGGAGAAGGAATAAGCAAGCTGGCTCCATTCCTTCGGGTGTTTGTCCATCAGCTGCTGGTCAATGACCCTGTGCATGTCATCCTGCAGCAGAGGGAGAGGAGAGGGTTGTTAGTGGCAGCTGATGCTCAAAGGGAGCTCGCGCAGGGACACGGCTGAAATGGGTGTGAAATGTGCTGTGATGAGATGGAGGAGGGATGGCAAGAAGTGGGGAGAGGTCTAGCTCCCCACCTGGCTGCACACTCAGTCTTGCTTGAGCTGTGAGGCTCTTTAGTGAGCAAGGAAGGTAAATCACACAATTCTGAGGGATAAATCGCTTGGGTGGTCCTGCAGAGGAGCATCTTGCCTGCTTTGGTGTTCTCTTGACACCTCTGAACTATACTTCTCTGCTGTCTGCAGCTTGCAAATGTCCCCTTTGGGGGAAGAAATAAATAGAACAAATGCAGCTGAAAGGAAATGCCAGAATAGTGAGGATGTCTGTCCTGAGCAGGACCATGTGCTTGCCATGTGGAGCAGGCAGGTAGGTAGGTGTGACAAGAGCTGCCTGCACAGCCACTGTTAGCAGGGGAAAGGTGTTCCTGGGAGCTGAGGGGCCCATGTCAGGCATGGGCCCAACAGAGCCCATGTGGGTTTTTGCACCAAGCTTACAAAAGAGAGCTGTGCTTGTCCCTTCCCCTGGAGCCAGCAGAGCAGTGAGAGCTCTCTGACTGGCAGCTTGGCATGAGCAACTTGCACTGGTTTTTCAGATGTACCAGAAGCACTCTGGTTTCATCCATGTTTGTGCTCTACACAAAACACTTGGTTCTGTTGCTGTTAATGACATGCTAATATGTTCCTTGAAAACATGGCTATCAATTCTGCGCATTTCAAACCTTAAGATCCATTGTTTCTGCTGTAATTGCATATTAAAATTGTAGCTTAGTGAAAACGTGTACACAAACTAGCCCCACAGGAGAAATCAACTGTTCTCCAGCAGTTTGGTTTCTGATTAGGACTGAGGGCACTATCTGGTGAGAACAAGGTTGCTCTGAATGGGCTGTAGTGATGGAGGTGCTGTTCACTTGGCACCTTGTGCAGGGCAGCCCATCACATGGAAAGGAAGGTGCTGCCATCACCCAGTGGGTGCTCCAGCTGCTCTGTATCTCGATGTGGAATACAAACAGCCAACTTGGACTGGAAACTTGAATAATGGCTTGTTGCCAATCTCCTGTTGCAGCATTTTCTGCAGGCAAAAGGATTGATAGCCATTGCCTGGACCTGAATATAGTATAGGGATTTTTTCTGGGGAAGCAGGAGGGTGCAGAGCTATGTGAACTGGGGAAGCTTTGGATCTTTATAGAGCAGAGGAAAGGCAGAGGGAGAGTTTAAGGTTGAGTTTAAGAGGTTAAGGTAAACATCAGTGTTACGGTGAAACAGGTTTCCAGAGGTGAAGCTGCCCTGTGAAAATGTGTAGCACTTAGATTTTGAAGGCACCTCTTTTAGCAACTAAAGTAGGTACCCAGGCTCCAGCATGGCAGATCTATGTCCTTGGTTAACAACATAACAAGGGATAAGTAAGATTTTTATATATATATATATATAAAATTGCACAGATATATACATATATATATATACACAAACACTATCCACTATTGAGAATGCACTGTGTTTGGGTACCTGTCTGTCTGGTGTGTGAATAGGAGCACACACTTGGCTGTGGAGATTCAGGGTAGATGTACACAGAAAGACTAGGGCAGAGCTGTGGGCCCTGCCTTGGCACTGGGCAGAGGCATAGGTTGTCTGGGCACTAGAGGGAGGGCAAACACCAGTGGTATGAGACCTGTCTCATAAAGCAAGTCCATAAGGCTGGCTACATGGTGCTGGTGTGCTCTGGGTGTTCCAGCAGGAGTTTGTGCTCTTTGCAAGAAGGGCTGAGGATGAAGGAGGTGCAAGCGGCATAGATGCTCTTTGTAAGCTGGGCTCCCTTGCATGAGATGCAGGTTTGAGCTGCCCAAGGCAGCCTCAGAGGCTGGTGGCTGTGGCCATGTAGGCTGCAGCTCTCTGCTGGCACTGCAGCATTTTCAGCCTAACACCACCCCTTGTCACTATTGCATTGAAGCCACTAAGCTCTCATTCGAGAGAAACAGCCCTCTTCACTTGAAATTTGTTCCATATTCCTTCCCTATTTCTAGTAATTTCCCTCCTGCCCCCAGATAATGATGAACACCAATGGGGGTCAGATTAGGCATGGGGTGAGGTGCTACTGCTCCTGTGCGAGGCTCAGGGTTTTGCTTCTAGTGTATTTTATAGCCAGTATGATTATGTGCTTACAGAAAACTGTAATCTTGTTGATGGTCCTTGGTAAAGTGCAGATGAGAAGCATACAAGAGAAATTTTTGTCAGATTAAAGCCTGCCTTTATGCCCAGCTAAAGCAGAGAATCTCTTCCCATTTTATCAGAAGCATTCGGCTTTGCAAAATAGTCCCCAGAGTACCTAAATTACCTGACTTGTTTTGTGCCTCTCTGGTTGAGCTTCTAATGCCTGGGGACATTAGGTGCTGGGAGACTGTTTTGCTACTACCTAATAACACTTCGGGTCAATATGTTAGGAGATAAATTTTTGCAGTGCTAGTGGGCCTGATCCTCATCTCAAAGCTGATGGGAGCGTGGTTGGGGTTGCTGTATTGCTACAATCAGATGACATAGTGTGAAGGGAGAAAGCAAAGGCCTGCTGTTGAAACCCAAAACTGGGAACAGTCCAGCAGTTAAATACTGAGTGTACTAGTAAGTAGGTCACCATTCCAAACTGAAAGAGAACTTGAAAACAGACAGCTCCTATGCAGAGCACTGGGTGTCACCTACTAGATAACAAAGCTGAGAAGTAAAATCCCAGTCTGTATTTCAAGAAGTTTTCCAGATACTAGATACGCTGAATACAGAGGATTAATGATATATATGCCTCAGCCTGGCTTTCCCCATGGTGACCTGGGGAGTAAAGCCTCACCACAGGATGGTGCCCCTTGTGCCCTGGGTGGTGCTGGGGTGTGTGTGTAGAATATCAATGGGTGATGGAGACACCCCACTGGTCGCTCTTGCCAGATGATGGTGAGGACAGAGATGGATGTGGGTGATGGTGGCAGCGAGTGGAGCAGGTGAGGAGATGGCAGGTTCTTGGTGAGGGTGTGAGGAGCTCACCTCAAAGGCAGGAGGGGTGTACGACTAAAGCTGTTGGTACAGGAACTGAGAAAGGCCACTAGATCAGAAACCAAAGGAGCCAGATAGTAAAAAGCCCTGAGGAAGCAAACTGTAAGCAGGAGAAAGAAAAGAAAAGAACGAAAAAAAAAGAAAATAAAAAGAAAATAAAAAAAAGAAGAGAAACGGAAACACAGTGGAGTTGAACCAGAGGCAAGGTTGTACGGGAGAGGTTTCTGCTGGTCAGGCTGTTAGTAGAATTGGGGTCTTGAATGGTCTGCAACAAATTATTATCACTGGCCCAGACCTTTTCTCTTGTATCTGCTTGTTTTCTATTGAAGTAGCCCCCCCTTGGTGCTAGTTTCCAGGAGGAGTCAGCTTTGTCTGATCTCAAGGGCACTCTGCCTTTACACAGGTTTTCCCTGCTGACCCCAAGTAGAGCAGCTCCATGGGAGCCGCTGAACTGCTGTGGGTTTGGGTTTTTTACCTTGGTGGAGAGCTGGGATTTTTGCTTCATTTTGCAGGATCTTCTGAGCTGTTGTAAACAGTGCAGATGTACCACAAAACAATCACCACACCTCTGCCTCCCACCTTTCTGCTCCACTATGGAACTGCGTAACTGCTGTGCCTGCCCACAGACATTGCCTGCATGGACACCTTCCCTTCCTGGGCCACAGTGTGTTACTCTGCAAGGTTTATGTTACCCATGCTGCATGCAGCCATGAGATACAGTTTGTTTCTTCATTTTAAATGGCTGTCTCTGTATAATTAATTATCTGCTTACAGCTGAAAGGCTTTGAGCAAGGCAGGGCTGTGTTTCACACCCTGAGCACCACTGCATCACTGGTTCCTGCAGAGCCCAGAGCAAAACTTCCTATGCATGGATTCCCAGGCTGAGAACACAGCAAACCCACAGGGAGGAGGGGGGAAAGACATCCAAAGGTGCATCATAGGCCATGTGCCACCCATACCCTGCCCTACTCACCTGCCAGGCCTCCAGCTGCTGCGAGAGGTTCACCTTCTGTTGGATGGCATCCAGCAGCTGGCTGTTGAGGGACATCATGTCGATCTTGCACTTGGCCAGCTCCACCTCCACCGCGTTCTTCCTGGGGAGACAGTGAGAAACTGAGTGTGTTTCTCTTTTTATTTAAAAGGAAGTGTTAAACATATCCTTGAGGAGCAGTCAACAGTTTCTTTCAGTGGCAAGTCCCCAGGTGCTAAGCTGCTGATGTCCATTGTATTCTGGACAGCCTATTAATCTGAAGAGTGGGATGGAACCATAGAACCATTGTTACTACAAAGCCAGGAGGTTTCTGGTAAGCACACTATGAAGAATATAAAGAGATATTCAGATACACTGCTGCATAAGGAAAGATAATGTGCCTGGATCTGCCATTAAAAATGGAGTTCTAAAATGAGGTAGAATAATTACATATAAATATTTATTTCCTTTTCTTCTATTTACTTGTGCATGAAAAAGAAATGGCACATGCTAAAAACCAAAGGAGCTGTTGTCTGATCACTCGATCAATAAGTCACAATATGAAACAAACAAAACCCCTCAAGGAGAACAACTCTGCTTTCAGTTGGGACTGGGACTGAAGGAAGGAAGAAATGAAGAAAGCAAGTAGATCATACACAGGCTTTGTAAGAATGTCAGACTGTTAGAACTGTTTGAATTAAATGTTACGCTTTAAGGAAACCTCCCAGTTTTAATGGGGTTGTGCTGGCCCTTGGGAACACTGCTGCTGTGTTTCTTTCCAGGCATTTGGTGGCCACTGGGCATGTGATGCCATTACCCAGGTTGCCCAAAAGGTCCTGAGTGCCCAGTGACTGAGATGTTCCAGCTGCTACTGGCTAGTGGAAAGGAATTGTCCCCTAGGAAGAAGCAATTTCCAAAGCTAGGAAATGCTGCTGACCATGCTGGGAGCACACAGGTGAGCATAAACCTTAAATCTTCAGTTCACTGCTGTGTGATGGGAAACCATAACATGACATTCTGGGAACCATCTTTCCTTGCAGACATTTTCAGGAGAAGTAATAGCATCTTGATAACTGCAGCTAATTCATCACCTCCTAATAGCTCCCCTGTGCCCCCTGCAGAAGACCAGTTTGGAAATTTGTGGGTATTTTCCAGGTAGTGGTTGCTGAACACCTCCTGTTATGTGATCCTATTTCCCTGTTGCTTCCCGTGTTGCCCAATTTCAGTTTCAAGCTAAAAATTTTCCATGCCAGATGTCTGCCTCAGACAGTGACTCGATTTCTGTTTAGAGTTAGGGCTTCTGTTTTGGAGGGGAGGAGGGCTTCAACAAAAGTGACTTAACCCTTGGGGTGTGAGGTGGGAAGCTTATCACGAGCCGGCTCAGTCTGTGGCAGGATGCTTTGATTTCTAGGAATGAGAAGCTCTTGTTTGCTTCCACTTTCTGCTCGTTAATCACCCGCCACTCACCCATGCACACTTGTCACGTCCCCCTTTCTCTGGACGCCCGCCACTCAGGACAGTCAGCTGTAAATATCAGTGCTTTGTCCCAGCAGGGTCATTAACCCCATGGAGAAGCTGGACCCTTTCACTCTGGCTGTGGGTTTGAGCACCTTAAATAGCCTTTTGTTGTGAAGCTCCCTATCCCTGGTCGGGTATTACGGAGGGTTTTATTGCGGCGGCAGCGCGTTGCCATAGCCACAGCAGCACCAGCAACCCACACGCACTGGAAATGTCAGAACCACCTCTCTGCACCCGGCAGCGCAGCTGGGATGCTCCTTATTTTTGCCAACAGATGGAGGTGTTACAGAGGATAGCAATGGGAATTTCACAGCCAGCTACACAGTTGAGAGCAGCACGGATGATTGGGTCACTTAAAAGACGAAGGGACTGTGCATGCTGATTTAGCTCCCCACATCCTGGGGGGTGCAATGCTTTTTGTGTTCCTATTCTTCATAAGGGCTTATTTGGCATTTCCATAAGGAGATGGGACTGGTGGTGTCCTGGCCCATCTGCTTATTGAAGAGATTATCACATGTATGCTTTCTGTGTAGAGCACAAAGGGATGAATGTTTCTGCCCCTCTCCTCAGGGCAAAGAGTGCTTAGGGCAGCATGGCAAGCCCCAGCACAGAGCTGGGATATGGGGTAGCAAAACTGCACAGGTCTACAAGGAGGATGGGGAAAATAAAGTGGGAGAATCCCAAAAGGACAAAAAGGGAATCACAGGACTGGAGCTGAAAAACAGGCCCTGGAACAGGGAAGTGACTGGAGAAGTGGTTTAGGGAAGAAGCCCAAGCAGGGCTGTAAGGGGGATGAGCAGGAAAGCAGGGTGGTATGTCTGGAAGAGCAAAAGAAAAAAATATGACAAATAGGGCAGACCTGGTGCTTCCATTTGGTTCTCCAAAGTTGTCGCCTTGCTGTGACTAGACCAGTACTAGGGATGGCTAAAACGTGGTTCACAGCTGCCTCCTAAAGGGGCAGCTTTGGGAATTGGCATCTCCTGCCCTGCTCCCAAGCTCCTGGCAGCATTTCCTAATGCCAGTAAAGCCAACGCTCACTCCATCCCTTTGTAACAGTTACTGAAATTCATGGAGGGTGAGAAACCCACCTGGAGGGATCTGCTAAGGCACCCCATAACTGCTAACCCAGCCTGGCTTTGGCTGTTGGTACCACTTACTTGGCAATGGCCTCATCCCGGTCCCTGATGGCCTGCAGGAGCCTTTCACTTGTCTCCTTGTCTTCAGCAGCACCTCGCAGCCGGTCCCGTTCCTCCTTCAGTGTCGTCATTTCTACACTCAGTAGCGTGACCTGTGGGTAGAGGGAGGGCATCAAATGCAGCATTGCTCAAATTCACCAAGAGTGGGAGTGGAAAGGGCCACATGGACTCATCTGGAGGCTGAGCTCCCCTGCTTGTAGAAGCTGTGTCTATTGGGACAGGGCTGTTAGTGCTGGTGCAACCCCCTGTGCAATGTGCCAGCTCGCTAGGGGATGCTGGCAGTGCTGGTCTGAGCAAGATGGGTCACCAGGACGGCCTCAGTAACATGCAGCAACAGCACTGAAAGCTGTGCAGCTATGCAGGGCAGGACCCACCTGCAACTTGGCTTTCTCTATGGCATCAGAGCTGAAATATTGCCCCTAGCCAAGCAGTTTGTCTTGTCCATGCATTCTCCGAGTCTGCCTGTTGTACTCTGATCTTTCCAGAGTTAAGGTATTGCAAACATCATTTAGCAGCAAATAAGATATTTTTGGAGGGGGCCCTTGTGTCTTGAAGTAGTATGAAGCTGAAGACAAAGGATGTGAAAATTCCCTTTCACGCCATGGAAGGTGTTACTGGCACATCTTACAATTTTAATTAGACTTTAAAATATGTGCAGAGTGTTAAATAGTCTGTGAAATGATCTATCGCTTTGGTCCTGTGCAGAGTGAGTTAATAGGGTGTGAAATCATGCAAGGTTTGCATTAGCACAGCTTTGCAATATTTCATACACATTTAATTTCTTTGTCTAGGGCACACATGCTCTGTTACACTACTCCACCACCTGGAAACCCTTCCAGCATTTGACCCACCTCCTTCCTCTAAATGCAGCTCAGTAGTGCTTGGATCCTCAAAGAAATCTTTAAATAGAGGGCAGTCAGTCAGAAAGGGCTCGTCACATCAGCGGCATGGGAGGACCTGCTGTTGGCACTGCATGGCTGGTTAGAGGGGTGTAGAAGCACCCTGTCTGTGTGCAGAGGCTGCCCGCTGCGGGCTGGGGCTGCAATCCCTTGCACTGCTCGAGCTGTGCCCTCCTGCAGCCCAGCACAGGGTGCACCTCAGAGCAGTGATGTGATAGTAGTGGTGGGAACTATTTGCTGAGGATTTCTACTGAGCCCAGGGGGCAGTGGATCAAGAGGCCCAGCCATTGTGTTTGGCGCTAGGTTTGGGGTCTTAACTGGTTTTGTCTGTTTTGGGTAAGAATGGGATGACACAGACAGAGGTGATTCCTGTCTCCACCTTGCTCTCAGGCAGGAGCAATGAATGTGTGTGGTGCAACAAGGTTCCAGAAGCCATTTAGGAGTTCCCCTTTTGTTGTATCAACACCAGTGACAGTGCAGAGGGATGTGGAGGCAGCAAAGAACTGCTGCCTCCCATGGACCAGACTTCCATGTGCATTGATGTTCTTTAGTACTGAACTGAAGACAACATTGCCTTTATGGTAAGGCTGGGCTATGGGCAAAAGCTGCAGGAGATGTACTTGTTGCATGAAGCTGGAGTGTTTCTCTGAGAGCAAAGTCTGCTGCATTTGTAGTAATGTCTCATCTTTCTCCATATAACACAGAGGTGTGAAAAGAAAGCAGAGCTGCCGTCTTCCCTTTGCTCCCTAGATATTCAAAGCTCTGGTAGTCAGCGACCCCTAAAACCAGAAATGGGGGTCCAGACTTGTGATCCAGAGCAGATCCTTTGGTCCTTCCTGGATGGGGAGTTTGGGTAGATCAGACACAGCAAAGAACAACCAAGTGCTGCTCCCTCCTGGTGACCTATAGAAGCCCCATGTGTAAGGAGGTGCTATATCCAGACAAGCAGGCTGGTGTACAGATGATCACTCAAGATCTGTGAATAAGCCCCTAACAGTCTCTGTTAGCATAGCTACATTGAAGTGATTCCTCCTCCATCTCAGATGTGTTTAAGGACAAGGTGCACAGGACTATGGCAGCACCACTAGAAGAATGCCTGGGCTCATGGCTCACTGAGGACAGAAGTTTGGACTCTCAAAGGTGTCTCTTGTGGTGGATGGAAGGGCAGGTGGCAGGGGTGCTCCCTTGCTGCAGTCTGCCTCTAATCAGCTGCTTTGTCACCAAGACCATTTCCATCCTCATACACATGCAGCCATCACTGCAGGGGTAGTTAATGATGCTCTCTTTTTGCTTTGGTCCCATGGTGGGAGCTCCCTTAGCCCTACACAAGGCTGTCAGACCCAGGTTGTGCTGACTTCCTCAACAGGGATGTGTTTCCTTTTTTCTTCCCCAAAGAAGCATGGCAAAAGTGCAGTGCAGCTCCACTGGCAAGATCAGGCAAGGGTGTTAACCCCATTCCCTCCTCCGATGCAGTTAGTGCCGCAGAAGCAGCTGTGCTTGAGGCTGCTGCTACTGTGGCCTTGGGATCCCCTCCAGTGTTTGGAGACTTGTCCCTGAGACAGGGGTTGCAGAGCTTCTCCTTGGGTGCCTGTCTCCATTTGCTGCTTTTGGCATAGGACCTCAGACACAGGCGGTGCTGCATTCAGTGCAGATGCAGTGTGATTCTGTGCTTCAAGTGTGGTGTTGGTTTTGGGGCTGGATCATTTATTGCTATTGTTAGCCTTAGGTGGTTCCTGTTGGCCCTGGGGTGCTACCTGGTGCCAGATCAAGATTCTCTGGTGTGTATTTATGAGGGTTTGTGATGCTGCTGTGCAGGAGGCAAACCTGCTCCATACACAGCAGAGCAGCACACAAAGTTTTGGCACCGGGTTTAGCAGTCTCCCTCTTTGTCCTAAATCTTCCTGGGTTATCTATCATGTTGATCTCTTTTATGGAAGGTATGTCTTGGAGGCTGAACCCTAGTGTTACAGGGTTACATGTAAAGTGTGCGAATTGCTAACCTGGCTGTGCAGTCGCTGCAGTTCCTCCAAACTCTGCCTCAGTTTCCCCCGTTCTCCCTCCATTAATTCCCTCAGGGCTCGCGAGTCCTCGCTTGTTCTCCTGATCTGTTCCTCTAAGGCATCATCGTCGCTTCGTCGAGAGCTCTGAGAGCGGGAGAGAAATCTCTTGCTCAGGTTTCACTTTAAAAAAGGCAAGTGCATTATTTCTGTAGAGGTTTGGAATGAGGGGGACTAAACAAGGAAGAAGAAAACTTGAATGTGACTTTGGTAGAGTTTCAGTTTTGCTCCCATGTGCCTTCCCAGGGGCAACCTGCAGCAAGCTCTGTCACCTGGGCAAGGGGACATGCACACGCCAAGGTCTCTCTGTGCCCCCAACTTACCGTGGAGTCTGCCCCATCCAGCACATTTTGTATCAGTCTTTTCAGCTCGCTGAGCGCTGCCCGTAGGCTGCCGGCTGGAACATCTTTGGCTGATGATGTTTCTGAAGACTCATCCATGGAGGAGTCTGTAGAGACTGCTGAGTCTGCACTGTCGTTTCCTCTGAGATGGGAGCAAAGATACCGCACTTGGCAATATGCTTCCCAGAGCTGCAGCCTCAGCTGGAACAAGAGAGCCTGACATTAGCCTGGGACATCAAGACCATGGAGATCCTCCTTCCACAGTGAAGTGAGGATTGCCAAACCTCACAAATACTTGTCTAGCTTGCTATGCTGGTTTCCAAATGGAGGCAGAGGTTTACTTTCAAATGGTGAAAAAAGTGATGATATCAGAGCTGAGACCATAACCCCAATTGTCTGGTTCTTGGTTCAGCTCCAAGTCCAGATCAAATGCATTAAACTCCCTTTCCCTCTGGAGTTGGTCACACAGGACCGCAGGCTTTCCCAGGGGTACGAGGGCAAATACCTGTTCTCGTTCTTGTTCCAGCTCCTCTGCCTCCATGCTCTGCTCTATCTCAGACAGCAGGGATGTGCTGGTTGTGTTGAAGTTTTGGAGACTTCTCTCCTCACTGAGCTCTTCTACCTTGCCCTGCAGCTGCCGGTAGGACAGGCGCACCTCCTGGAGCTCCAGCTGGCTTTGGTGCAGCTTGCAAAGAAAATCAAGGAATTTGTCAAGGAAGTAAGGTATTGGTGGAGGTGGTATAGACTTGGTTTGTGAAAGAGCTGAAGGAGGAATGAGTGTCACAAAAAGAGGATTTCCAGCCAGGAGGAACATACTCTTGGCTGATACTGCTCTTTATTGGAGCTTAATAATCTCCAAATGTCATTAGACACCGTTTAGGCTCCAGAATATCCTGAAAGATAAAAATATCAGGTTAATCAGAACTAAAATGAGGAGCGTTGTGAAGAAGTTGGGACTCAGGTAAAAAAAAATGCTGACAATAACACAGCAGGAAGTGAATCCAAAAAGAAAAGTAATACAGATGTGGTTTAAAAAATCTATATGTGTATATAAATACAAATATATATATGAGAGAGGGACAAAACAATTCAGGGCTGTTTGAAGAGCTGGGATCCAGTGGTTATCAACCTACAGAAAAGAAATGGAAAACTCTTGCTCTCTCCTAAGATGTCTGAAGCCACAGAGGTGCCAGCTTGTTCTCCAGGGAGCAATGTTTAGTGACACAGCTGTGAGCACCATGGGGCTTGTTGGGAAACCATCTGAGCAGTGAGAGCTACAAGGGCAGTCACTGCCCTCATTTCCCCCTCACACTGACCGACTTGTTTGCTCAGATCTCCCTCCTAAGCTGCTCTGCTGTCAAGATGCTCCATTGTGGCTCCTGTTATCTGTTCCTGTGGAACAGACCCTAACTAACACCCAGGGCCTTGCTTGCTGCCATGCTTACATGAGCCATTTTATTCTTCTGGCTGTTTTGTCTGTTTCCAGTTCCTGATTATCTTTCTGGTCAGTTTTCCCCCAAACCATATCTTTTATTCCAGTTCCCCCCCTCTTCCCTGTGCCATGGCTGCCTCCTCACCTGCAGGTCCTTGTCATGGCTTTGTCTCTCCAGGATGAGGACTCGGTCCTGCAGCTCCTCCACGGTTCCCTGGAGCAGGTCATTCTCCTCCATCATGGCACTAAGGCGATGCTCCAGCTCCCGCTTCCTGTCCGTCAGCATCTTGATCTGTGAAGGAAAGAGGTGGTGTCAGACCCTGCACTTTGCAGAGAGGTGTGAAATCAACTTCCCAAGACAGAAATGAAACGGCAAAAAGCGTAAGTATGCACATATGTATTCTGTACCTGTATGAAAGAAACTGTATCTGTGTGTGTGAAATGACAGGCAGAAATGACCAAACAGATTAAGTGGAGACCAGCCCAGCCCACCCCTTGTACCTTAAAACTTTTTAAGACTGGGCAAAACTAGTTACTTTTGCTGGCTGGTCCCTGACTGAGCATGGTGGCATTTTCTCCTCTATGGGAGCCCCACAGGGCTGTGCCACAGCACTACCCGTATGCTTTACTGAATAGCTGCATGTTCACCAAGTCCTCACCAGGGACTTTTCTGTCTTTTTGCTTGTGAAGACTCCTTTCTATGCCATGCTTATTTTTAGCCTCATAGTGATCAGTTGCCTTTAAAATTGGTTCATTTCTTTTAATTGTCAAGGGCAGTGATTTCAGGTGGTGAGGGACAGCGTGCCAAGCAAAACCTCTGTGATTCAGTTAGCTGGGAACAGTGCACAGGATGAATCAGCACTAGCCAAGGTCACTTACTGTTTAACCAAGAAAAAGGAGCCTTTTCCAGCATGCACAGGACCACTGGGGGCTGGGCATGCCAGTTACTAGTCCAGTATAGCTCTAAATATTCCCTGTGGCCTCCTTTTAATTCATGGACCATAGACGAATTCAGCAACTTCCCAGTGGAAGGCCTCTTTGGGACCTTCTGTCTCTGCTGCTTTCCAGTTTGCTGGGAAGATTTGGCTGCATGAGGGAATATTGGCAAAATGTGTGGACTTGCTGTTTCTGCAGGGTAAAGGCTGCTGTAGGTATTGGAAAGCTGCTCTTAAGTGACTAATGGTTTCTGACATGTCTCTTCCCACCACCATTATGATTTGTGTGGGTTGGAGAAAAGGGGTTCAAGAAAAATAAGAGGCATAATACAGACATTGTACTGAGAGTTCATATTTGGTATCCAAACCAGTAATGAACACCCTGTGAATGCCCATATAACAGAAAAGGCATTGCTCTGCCATAGGCATAGGGCATGGGAAGGGCACAGGGGGAAAGGGATTTAGAAAGAAAGAGATGGAACGAGGCAAGGTGAGGCATGCACAGTGACAGGCATGCATGGTAAGAGCTATGCACACGCGGTCAGCCCCTTTTGAGCCTCCATACTTACTTCAAGGACCTGCTGCTCCACACCAAGGGGAGGGGAGGAAAAGGCGAGGGACCAGCAGGGAGCAGGAGGGAGGGGGAGAAAAGAAGAAATTGAGAAATTTTAGGAAAAGCTCTTCCAGACAGCTGATAAATGAAAGTAGTGGTCAGGTGGTAGAGTTGGACATCTTCTGACCACCTAGTTCCTGCCTACGTGGGTCTCAGTGACCCCTGTTAGGGAAGAGAAGAGGAAGGAAGGAAATATCATTCCTGCTAATGTCCCAGAGCTAAAGCAGCTAGGAGCTCCTTGCTTTCCTATGTGCATGGGCTGGAGGCAGGAGAGGATTCCTGCTTTCCCTGCAAGCATGAGAAACAGAAGAAAGAAAAACCCTTGCAGTCCTTCCTTTCCCACCATACCCTGGAGTTTCATCTGTACTGGGCAGCAGCTCTGCAGGAGCACTGCCATGGTTTATCTGCTGGAAGATCCTTCTAATCCATCCATCCATTTTGAAGGCATGCTTGTGGCCAAAGCAGCAGTGGAAGCTGGCCTGTGCCACCCCAGCCTGGGTTGCAGCAGAAGTTCTCACTGGGGGAGTCCTTTTCCCCACAGCTATCATCCTTCTCTTTGCTCCAACAGGCAGGGTTTGTTTCCTCAGTTCAGAGGGGTTCTCTCCACAAGTTAAAACACCTTTTGAAGGGACAAGACGGAGTGCAGGTCACTCACCTCGGCTTGGAGGCTTTCGAGCCGCACGATGTGCTGACTGCTGGAGGAGTTCTTCTCCCGAAAGTCCTCCCGGAGCGTGTGGACCTGCAGGGAGAGCTGCCTCTCCACCTCTGACGCCTGCAAGGAGACACCAGATGGTGTTATCCAGGGGGTTGTCCCATAGAAAGCAGTTCTCTCCTGCAGCCCATTGAAAGATCTGCCCTGATATGACTTCTCCATGAGCCCCAGTTTTGGCAGAAACTGAAGCCTGCACAGTTTGGGTGAGGGAAAAGCTCATCCTGGACAGATGCTGAGGAGAGCAGCTATGTGGATTTTTCCCTTGGGGCAGCCAAGGGGATGCAGCCCATAACTTTATTCCATTGCAATACAGCATGACTCCTTTGTCCTACGGGAAATTCAGTTTTCCTCAAACAGCCTAGTTGGGGTTGAGGAGGAGACCAGGCCACTGGCAAAGGTGAGGGGAGCCAATCCTCATGCCCCCAGCAAACACAACTAATAGATTTATACTTTCTAAACCTCTGAACATCTCTGGCACAGCTCTAAAATAACAAGTGCTCTTTGCCTCTGATTTCTGGCTTCCATCATGGCCAGAAGGAGAAGCATCTGCTCCACATGACTGTCAGGGCAGGATTGCTTGCAGAGGGCTTGGTCCTCTTTCCCATTTCGAGGGAGGAATGCCCCATTTGTGCAGGGTGGTTTGAGGACAGTTTGAGGCCATTCCTACCTGCAGGATTGGAGCTGCAGACAGCCCCTGTAAATGACAACTTAGACACATTGACTACTCTCCAGACAGCTTTATAGCTGGCTTTTGCATGGTGAACACACTTGTTTAGGCTTGTAAGAGAACATAAGGTTTTTATGACAAATCCCTAAGGAGACAACACAAATGGATGATTTTCTATTTAATTAGCCTCCATCAGGTTCCATTACACTCTAGGCACAGACCTCCCCTTTTGGCAGGTTAGCTGGAAGTGAACTGATCTCCCTCAAGAGGTGGCATGCTAGGGGCACAGACAGAGCTGTATGTCCAATGGCAAGGGCCATCAGTGGCCACAGTGCCTTAGACAGGGAGATGAGACAGGAGGGAGGGGTGGAGACAAGAGAAAACCTGCATTGGGGTCAGCAGCTGTGGGCAGGTTTGGGAGTGCATCCTTATGTCTGGCAAACGTGGGTCAGGATCTGACTTGGGGTGCTCTGGCTGACAGGGAGCCCACGTTGTCAGCTCCACCAAAGAGTGCAGTGACCTTGCTTCAGCAGCTTGTGACCTGAGGAATAAGGACACAGACCCGGCCTAAGCTGCCCTCAGAAGCAACACTACCCCCTTTTAAAAATAGTCCCTTACTTTGCACACTCTGCAGAATGCTCCAAATTAGAAGCAAGAGGTAAAAGG